GTGTATTTTGTCTTTCTAGGTGTAAAATCATCCGCTCCCAGATCATTCTTCTGGTTCAGGGAATAGCCTCGTTGGAGTTCCTGAACTTTGTACATAGAGATTATTATAAAGAACAAAGACTCAATTAATTATATAGGAAAACATATAAGTACCAGTGAGATTATAAAAATAAGCGGTGATTTTAGTACCGGCGAGCTTCTCACGCGCCACTTGTACGTTGGTTTCATATCACTTATGCATGTTTGAATACAAGCTTACTTACCTTTTACAACCGAAATGATTGTATAAAACATATAGTTGTCTCTCTTATTCTTATTGAAAAAAAATGAGTTAACGATATATATTTTATACAGATATTTCGGGCTTTAGACTGTTACAGTATGCATGCATGCTTTCTTGCTTTGTTAACACTTATCATTTTATTTATTATTTGTTTTTAGTTCTAGAATTTTGTTTTCGAGATTGTAAACACTTTATATGCATTTATTTAAAACAAAGGAAAGTATTCGAATATTAATTGCAGTAAATAATAATTATTAGTAGCAATAGTATTTACTTCACGTGTGCCAAACCGATTATATGTAAATTATATTGTTGCACTTGATTTTTAACATTTATCGTTATTCCAAATGTGTATCGAAAAAATATTAGCACAATTTCACTTAAGTAAATAACTCACAGTTTAAATCTTTTTAGAAACAAAATTGCCAAAGTTACGTGTCATCGTCTTGAAACTTTAAAGGATCTTTTATTCAATCATATAAATACGTAAGATATTTGTTTCGTATTAAAAAAAATTGCACACGTCACGTTACATTAATTCTAACAGTTTGAACCGTTTGATGAAAATTAACCGTAGTATTTTATTAATCGTACATGAGTTGGGTTGTGTGTTAATTAACTGTTTTTTTTTAGTTTGAATAAGAATAACTTTAAGTGTGTGTTATTTGTGACTAATAATTAAATGCATGATAAAATCGTGCAAGAGTAATATATTATATATTAAACTATATATTTACTTTATTAGGGTATGTGTAGAAGTACTTTATTAGAGGAAAATATTTTAGTAGATAGTAGAATATGGTTATATATTGAAGATTTTTTATAAAGTATTGCATGCGTTTTGAAAGTAGAATGTAGTCGTAGTTAAATTAGTAGTTAGAACGGATGGGTAACGGTTTATTGAATTCAATATAGATTTGTTAAAGGCGAGTTAATTTTTCAGTTGGCCACATACAGACAGACGGAGCTAAACTGTAGTTACTCGTTACCTCGGGCCTCCGTTACCTAAGGAGGGCTTAGGTCCTCCGCCGCGGCGTCACGCACCCGCATCGTAGGTTCACATTACATTTCTTTTGCTACCATTTTCGTACAAGCATGATATCTAACATGAAAAGATTTTGGTGTTTCTTGTTTTTTTTAACATACGCTTATTATTATCATTCTCATTATTGTTGAGAGTTTCACCACATTGATGTTAGTTGTTTAATGTTTTTGTTTGTAGATAGATAATTTCTGAGAGTAAGCATATCTACGTTTACTTATTTAACTTTAGAATACGAGATATTTTATTGAAACTAAAGATAAATACATAGATGTGCTTCCTCTTAAGGCCTTAATTTTTTAAGTCTCTCATCTAAACCGCTTAGTTCCAATGTTCTTGGGTATTTGAATTTGAAACTATTGAATTTATTTTAAGTTGTTACTTATTCGATGAATTTTAAACAGTTATTGGAATAACGGTTTATATGAATCAAGCATAATTTTGAACGCGTATAGAATCTATTCATTATGTCTTTATCATTAGTGCACTATAAACCACTTTTTTTAAATGTAAATACAATTGATTGAGGTTTTGTACGCGTTCAATTCTATGCATCACACATTGAGAGTTTGAGAATAGTTAAATATATGTTTTTGTGGGTGGGACAGATGAAGGTGAACGTGGTGGTGGCAATGGCGGCAATGGCGGCGTGTCAGTGCGACCGTCGTTCGCGTCGTTCGTGGCGCTGTGCGCGCTGCTGGTGCTCTCGGCGCGCTCCTAGCGCCCCCGTCGCACAAGCCCCCGTCCCCTACGCCCCCTGTGATCGTGATCCAGTGTGTCTGTGCCCATGCCTGTTGCGTCAGCTGTATTGTGTATAGCGAACGTTTTGCTGTGATTATGAATGCTTAACTTTTTTATACTGTTGTGAGAACGATAATTTAATGTGAAGTCATAGTTTTTATACTTAATATAAATAGATGATATAAGTTCGAGTGTGATATTGACGTAAGCGAACATTTTTATATTAAAATATTTAAATTGGTAACACGTTTTTAATTTCGGAAACCTCGACAGGTATACTTAAGGGTTAATTAATAAAGAAGACTGTATTTTAATTGGTTTATTCAACGTTTTTTCTGTTTTTTCCAATAATTCTTCTTATGTTAGTAATTACAAGTTTATGTGACATTATTTTTCATTTTTATTTCATTTTCATAAACGTATTTTTTTATAAACATCTCCACAAATCTTCATAACACGGTCGTTCGACCTACTGTCTCAATCGTTCTAACTCTTAGGAAAATGCAAATAATATTAAACTTCAAAATCTGTCTACAATTATTCGAACGTGATTAATCTTACTTCGAATATCGAACGTTGCCTACATGGGGTACAGGCGCAGGCGTAGCGTTGGCTACACGAAGCGCTACGCTCTCCTGTAGCGCAGCAGGGGTGTGCTACGCAACAACGCGTTGTGTTTACGACCCTTAACTGCAAGCGCTATAATTAGTTTAACTCATTTTGGCACCAGATTTGGTATAAATACGATTAATGTATGTTAGAAATTGATCGGAAATCAATACAGCTATACAACCAAAGAAGTGAAAACACATGACTAGACACGGAAATCGAATTGACAAAAAAGAAGCTGCCAGGATGAGTTAAACAAATTATTGTCACATATTAATATAGTTTTTTTTTTATTAAAGTAACCTTTAAGAGCTGCATTACGCCTGTGCCTGAAATCCATTTATCATTTAGAAGGCATAACATAAGACTTAGTACACGATCACTACTTGAAAAACACCTACGACACATCCTAGATCATATCAATATACAATACATAACGGCCGCGTTGTGTGGCAGTGCTCGTCGGCGTTACCGTGGCGTCACCGCGGCGTCGACCTCTCACGCTTGTCAATTTATACAATTTATTCTTTAGACTACACTACCTCTCTCACTATGAACATAGTTTAATATTACAAATGTAGCGGCCCCATACACGAATATGTATTTATCGAACGTCCTCGGTATATTAATTTAAATTATTTTCTTTCAAAATATTTAACTATCATTTAGTTATCTCTGTTATCTGTAAATTAATATATATTTATATGATCTAGAACTTTTAAGGAATAATTAACTCACGTAGTGTGAGAGTTGAGTGTTACGTTGCAACGCGTCGCTTTGCCGTAAATAAATCGAAACAGGTGACAGTCGCGCGGGAGCAAACTGTACAGGGAAGAAGGAATCTTGCGTCACAAAGTATTCAACTTAATAAACTCTTTGAACTATAAACTTGTTACTAGACCAACATAATTCTATCAAATTAATACAAAAACATTTATATTTAAATGGAAATGACACTAATTACATGTATAGTACACTAATTTATGAAAACATCAAACCAATATATATTAGCAACATACACAAATTCTTTCGTAGCTAAGGGGTGACTTAATGGTAAATCACCTTATTTAAGTTACCTTGGGAGAGTTTATTAAACACTTATATACCATACCAGTACCCTTTAGCTACGTTAGACTACAAAACATTTTATAGAATACAAAATAATAATTATAGATTTAAGACAACTTTTAGAATACGTGTAGAATACAAGAAATACTTTCGGAGTGGTTGTAACTTAAACAATATACATTCTAAATGCGTTCGAATTCTAAATATGCAATTACGATTTATCATAAGACGTTTTAAATATTTTATCGTTTCTTATTTTACTAGCTAAGTTCTTAAAATTGAGAAGGCCATGTCGTTCTATTGGATTGTTTGGTGACCACACAAATAATGTTGAACTGAAGAATACATTCAGTGAAGACAAAACTATTGTGAAGAAATTGACCACAGTTGTGTTGCTGTACTATCCTATCCGCGCATAACCATGCCCCAAATCACTAATTGGTATTATTTATTAAAACAATGCAATCTCTGTTTTAGGATAGTCCACAATTATTATAAAATTTTATAATTCAAATTATTTATACCTAAAACAAATATGCAGCTTGTATTACTAAATATTAAACCTTGAAATTATATTGTTTATAAATATTTTATAAGAACAATAATAAAACTATAATTATGAAATTAAATTTTCCGCGTTTTATTTCTTATTTTGATTCAAAATTATAGCAGGCTTATTAAATTGTGTCTTCAAGGTTGTTAAATTATTAGTAATTAAAAAAGTACTAACGTTCTTCTATTGTTTATTTAACATAATTTGTACAAAGCAGGATATGTAATAAATTGAATTATTTTTAACATAGGGCAGTTTCGTGTGGATAGGACAGTTACCATATGAAATCAAATATGTAAATATATTCGTTGAGCCGTTAATCTAACACACAGATATCAAATAACATTCACCTTATAAAATCGGAACTCGCTCATTTTATTTCGTTGTTTTGCAAATATACTTTCAAACTGCAAATTACACACTTTCACCATATTACCATTTACACGCAAACACGAACAAAAACTCAACATCCTACTCTATTACATCATCGAATACCATATTTTAAATAATTTCTTATGTTTTTTTTTATATAAAATTTTCATATATCTATCTCGCAAGTGTTATGTTAATAAAATTATTGCAGAGTATAAAATGTAACACCAACAGATCACGGAATTCTGTTTACTATTATATAATACATTGTAGTATTTTATAACGAAGGCTACCTTTTGGTGTTTTCCTTACGCTACCTTAACGCAAACTTCTCGCAGAAGAACATCAATGGACGACCCCGAAAGCGACTTCTGATCATGTTTTGTGCGTGTGTGTGACAGTCGATCAGGCCGGTGTGTTGCCTAATGTGACAATCGGTCTTATAGTACCTACTTGTTAAGGCCAAGTTCACATCAGTTTTTACCAATTTTTTTATGTTTTCGCTCGTTCCTGGTTCAATAAAAAGATGAATAAACACATTACATTCGCTATTTAAATATTTAAATTACATCTAATCAAACCATGAGCTTTGGCTCATATTAAAGGTATGTTGATTTTT